GTCTTCACTCCCGAGTGTAGCGAGAGGGAATTTCAAAATCTTACTGACTAAAAACCAAATGACCTTCTACTGCTCTGGTCCAGGGTGCGTGCGTGGTGCATATTTTTTTGCTTGCGATGCATTATTTGCGCTTACATCCACAACCCTGACTCATACACCCAGCAGTGTTCTGACAAGTATTATTTTCAAGAATATAAATCTATTCCAAAAATAAATTCTGGTAATAAAAGTTTTTGTATAAACCTACATAGGTAAATTAAAATATTTGCATTGAAATGCCTACACAATACATTTTCAGCAAGCATATTGAATTCAAATAGAAATAACGAAAAAGCGAATAAAAAATCTAAAATGCAAATATTCCGATAAAAAATTGGTTTATAAAAGTCACGACAAACAATAGCCTGAAATTTTGAATAATATTTTGTTCTAATTAAACATTTTTCAGCATTTATGTTTTGTTGAATGACAGAATCACTAACTAACAGTAGGTAACGTTAAAGAAATATATATAGCAACTGTTTTTTTATTTCTTTTTATTCTGTTAATTTTCACTTTATTGGAACTGCATGGTTAGCACAGTGGCTAGGCAACTGGCTGCTATGCAACGTGTCGGGTGGTCGGTTTGTGCATGTGGTGTGTATCTGTGTGTGTACATGTGTATCTCAGTTCAGAAAAAAAACCCAGTGTAGGCAACGTCATTTTTGAAATAGAAATATAAAAATAAAAATAAGGAGGAGTTTACAACAAAGGTGTCGTGAGGCTACAATCTTTGTAGAGCAAGGAATGTACATTTTGGGTACAAAATTTGGAGCTATTTATATAACTGGTGACACGTGGCGTACATCTGCACCTTTGCCTTCCATTTTGGATATGATACGTTACAAAATAAACTCTAAATTATACACCATAAGAATCATCATATCTCCGTCATCAGCCTATAAGTACCCACTGCTGACCAAGGTATCTCGCACGGATCTTCACGTAATTTCAAACTTATAACCATTAATTAGGTACATGTCGAGATATTTGTTAGTGATGTATATTCTATAAAGTATACACAACATCAAAAAAGACAAAAATCTTTACTTTGATAAGCAAGGGGAAAGCAAGGAAAGTCTTCGATATATATATCATACTTACTTTAAGTAAATTAATATTTCTATAATGTATGTATGTTAATTTATCATAATTTCCTATACATACGTATGTACATATATGCCAGTTAGTTTAGTATTCAGATTCAGTCTATAGATAATTGAGATTGCATTTATTAGTTTAGTTATTATGACGCATTTAATATTCGGATATTAATATTGTTCAATTATTTCAACATAATATGAGGATCTTGCAGTTATATTGAAGTTGACCGTATTTTATCGATTTTTGTATACATATAATATAATAGAGCTACGTTTGCATTGAGAAACTGCAAGTATTTGTACACCTGTCTGTTTTTCCTACCTGCCTTGGATACAGAGCTGATACAGCATAGAATTTCAAACTAACGATATTGTTATGAATTCGGAAATAATATAAATATTAAAATACTTTCAAACACACATATACACACACACTCATCCCACACACACACACACACACACACACACACACACACACACACACACACACACACACACACACACACACACACACACACACACACACACACACACACACACACACACACACACACACACACACACACACACACACACACACACACACACACACACACACACACACACACACACACACACACACACACACACACACACACACACACACAGACATACACACACAATAAGAAACAAACAATATTGATGGTTAAGATATCGAAACTTATTATAGAAAATACTAAAACATTAAAAATACGAGTATTTAATCACAACATATTCTCACAACAGATTAACTACATGAAATAACAAAATACCACAGTAAAGTAGATTTTACCAGTCAGATGTTTCTTTGAGGAGAACAGAACAGAGTAGGAAAGAAAAGCGAACAGTAGGTACTAGTATATAATTTTATTTACTTTCCGAACAAACGTTGGTCTTTGTGAAGTAAGCGAATTAAATTGTCTTATAAGGATAGAGAAGATGTAGCTACACGTAGCGTATGTTTTAAAGTCTTTAAGTAAACGTGGTATTTACTCTTGGGGTTATTGAACGAGACGAAGAATATCTATGGATATGGTTGATGAAACCTGGAAATAATGTGAAAATCAATGTGATTTTGCGAGCTATACAATGTGCTTACTAGGATTATTAAGAACTGTAATATAATATGTACATACTGTGAAGGTAACTATCGAACATATGTAGGTACGTCCGATACAAACCAATACGCCTGCAAATTCTTTGAGACACGTGCAGCGCGTTTTTTATGAAGATTTAAGAACTTATTAAATTAAAAAATGATTTAAAAAACGACGTGATTCCTGTCTGCTCTGTATAAGTACTATGTAATAGAAAGTGTGATAATTTGATAATAATAATATATATTGATGGCATAATTCTTGAATTCCAGATTTCAATGAAAATAAAATATTATATTCAATTTTAAAACCACGAGATGTACTGTAATATTTTTAGCACATTAGTCGTTATATGTAATGTGTATATCAAGGTCTAGAAATTGGGAGATACAGAAAGAGTCATTGTTAAATTTCCATATAAAATTTGCTCCGTACAACTGCTAAATTAAAAAAATAATAAATATTGATAACATTAATATAGCATGACGTATGAGTGTGTTGCATTTAAATCGATTAAGTAGTTTCGATAGATTTGACTTCAATTTTCTCGCGCTGCATGTACCTTTTTAACCCAAATGAACTTTATAAATATTTCGTTCTCTTCCAGCGAGGTAGTCTTCTTATTAAAATAATACAAATATTTGTCAGAACCAAAGAGGTTTTCTGTTTTTCTTTGCCTTAAAGTGACACGAGAAAAGTTTTTAACTTATATTCATCGCACTTAAGTCAAGTTTTATGAGCTAATATTTTCCTCCTTGCCTAGTTCAATCCTAACTTTTGCTTTACTTTAATGTAAATTCTCTGTAGATGTACCTCTTTTCTAGTTGCCGTGTTTTGAATAAGGACTAGCTTCTGTACTCTCTGTATACTTGGGCAATTTGGCAAGGGTTAGGCGTTTTTGAAATGATTTTAGACTTATCCAAATTCCACGTCATTTTACATTCTATAAGAGTTCTAAAACGTTAAGTTAAAGTGTATCGATACCTTAATTTTTAAACAAATATTTCCATCTGTGAAAACCAAAATCAAAACATTTATATAATATGACTTCTTTTAGTTTTATAATTGCATTTAAAAGAAGACGTTGATTGGCGAATGCTTAGTTTGTTTATAAAACTTTATACAGAACATAGTATTACTCATACTATGCAAGTATGCTTTTCTTCTCTGTAAAGGCCACGTAAACAATGATCTGCTACAAAAATAATTTGGTCGTAAAAACTAGAAAAAGTATAAAGCAAACCCCGTATAATAAAATACGAAACACTCAAATCGGATTGCCCGTCAGTTCGTGCGTCCATCTTATAAATTGCAACAATTTGAAAATTTACTCTCAAAATATAAATCCGGGTGAAGCTGGAAAGTTTTCAATTCTACTTTATGAAAGTAGTACCGAGCTGTGTGATTTGTTTGTACTGGTTGGCAGGACGAAATGTTTTGTTTTTGTATATATATTTTTTTGAGCGCGAGATGTAGCTTTTATTTCGTATCATTACGGATATCTTATTGAAAGGTTTAGTAGCTCGTTTCTCTATAAGAGTCAGAATTAAGACCATCGTAAGCTGTTGCACATGAGGTTATAATTATAGAATTAATTAATTACATTCGTTTGGAATTTGCAAACGTAGAAACTGTTTATTTCTACATTATATTATCAAAACGTATGTAAATATATACTCGTATATTAATTATAAGTTATGAGCCCTGAACTTGAAGGAAAATAGATCAGTAGGTAGACCTATAAACGCATACTACGGTCCTGTTTGTGTTGAGGTACCGCGGCGTCGGCCCAAAGCAAGAGAAGGATCGGGGGTGTTTTTTAGTCAGTAAGAGTCTGACACTCCCTCCCGCTCAACCCTGGGCGTTAGAAGTTATTTCGATTTTCCCCTCACCAAAAAAAGGATCTTGTTTGCCATGTAAAATTAGAAATAAAACAACCGACTATACATATACATATATATTGTTTTCATTACATTAAATCTACATATTGACTCCTTAAATTAAAGTACAATGTATGTGTATGTTTTATTATACTACACTATGTTCTACAAATCTTCTGCAATAAAATATTGGATATCACACATAATATATGTATAGCAAAAATAATGTAGGTATGCGTTGCTGATCGACTGACTAATGAGATTATATTCGCTTTTGATCTAGCTGCGTTGTCCATACATTTATATCTATGGAATATTCAGATATAGGTCAGTTTTGAATTTGGAATGTGGCATGTAAATTTTGTAGTAGGTATGTAGTGGTTTTGTTTGAAATCAATCGATAAAGGTTACAAATAGCAATATGCACGTTTGGCGGTTTCGAATAAATTGAATAGTTTCGTTGGTTGAGTAACTAATGAATGGCTATCGAGCACTTTGACGTTCAGGTTTGGACAATTTGAACGTTAGTTAAAAGTATTTTCGCGTCATATTATGTCCAGCTCCGAATTACGCATAAAGCTATCTGGGTGGGAGTCGATAACACGTCGCATAGCAGCTAAAAATTCAGTCAACCGTGCAGAATAATTATCCTGCTTTTATTAGCCCATTGAGTAGTGAGTACTTTTATATTTGATGATTAGCCGTGTCGATTTTTTTAGGCAGCTAGATTGTTAAATAGGCCGAATTGAATAAATATCTCAAATAATTTTAAGGTTCCTATGTTGGTACGAATTTAGAGCTTTCTGTTTAGCATTTACCTAAGAAATATGTTATGTAATAAATACGTTATTTTTGTTCCACAGTGAAATCAATGACATCAACCTGGGTCTCTTAGTGGAGGTGTGGAACAAAGGTGTCATCTGGGACAAAGCACTCGGTTACCACTACCTGCCTCTCACTTCCGTCGCTTATAACGAGGTAAGTTAGAAAGGGACAAAACATTTTATAGTTAATACAAGAATCTTCATTGTTGTAGAAGAATGGAATATGGATATATATAGTTTGCTATTATTAATATAACAATATAACATATGTAGCATAAAAGATTTATAATACATCTTTGTTAGTGTTGTGAGGCCGGCAAACGAGCATACAGATTACCTGATCGGAAGTAATCGACGTTGCCCATAGACACCCGCAACACCAGAGGACTAACATGTGCGTTGCCGGCCTTTTGGGGATTAGAGTTTCGGAGATTTAGGATTTGGGTAGGGGAGGATCAGGTGATTGGGTGATTATGGCGACGCACATAGATGAATGACGACAATAATTAACGAATGACTTCATAAATCCTACATCGCGCTACTGAAAATTATCGCCAGTTTTGTCATGAAAAAAAGTGACTTAGGGCATTTTAATTCACAATTCGTTTATGGGTCGGCTCGACCGGAGTAATACCTCGTCCTCACAGGAAAACGGTGTGAAACAACCACAGCGATCAGCGATGTGTTTCGCCGTGTAAGTGAGGCCACCGGAGGCCCAATTCTTCACCTCCCCAATCCTTCCCCAATCTTATAATCTCCTAATCCCTAACCCCCAAAACGTCGGCGACGCACTCGTAACTCCTCTGTTGTTGCGGTTGTCCATGGGCTGCGCTGATTGCTAACCATCAGGTAATCCATCTGCTCGTATGCCGTCCAATCACATAAAAAATAGAATAAAAAAACACACTACATTTAGTTTTATAGTATAACAAATATAGGTAACGCTATCTATGCCTTTATCTAACCGCTGTCTACAACTGCGTTGGACCAGCCAATCCTTTTAAATGCTTCCTTAAATGTAAATGGGGCTTCTTGTGCAATGCCCGACGTATTGCATTATACATCCATGTACGTACAAAACGAGGTTATATTTTAAAGGGTTGGGTTTTACGTTGTCATGTTATGGGGTTAAATATAACTGCAGAAGTTTCTTGGAGAGTTATGGCCGACTTATGCCTACCGTGTTAGTAAATTTTACACGTTACGATCATCTCTACGTCGATTTCTTTAAAGGACTTTGTTTTTTGTCTTCTGTTTTACGGTTCCTTACTATTACATATTCCTCTAAACTGACCGATTCATCGCGAAGTTGACCACCCAAGCGGTAGGATATAGGTCGTTGAATTGTATTGAGAAATTCGATAGAAAGTCAGGTTGTACTAATCAGATCATGTAGTACTGCCTTCAGTTAAGCTAAGGAAGCTTAAGCTTGTACAGCTCAGGGCACAAACCTAGTTATTTTGCTCCTGATCCTTTTATTCGAATCTAGTAGTAAGGTAGGTCCAGGTCAGGTCTTCAAGGTGTACAGGCATTATAAGTACACACTCGTTGACATATACACAGATACAGGTATTTGTATTGTAAAGAGGTTAGTCATCAAAAAGATATAGTTTTACTACTTCTTTTTGTGGCATAAGGCAGCAAACGAGTATAAATATATAAAGATAAAAGAATTTCGATATTACGGGTAGAGCCAAGCGCACTCCAGTAACCTCTTTCACGCGGTGAAATGCAACACAAGCACTGGTCCATTTTCCTTAACACCGTGACATCCCTCTGGTGAGCCGACTCATTTGCGCTGAAACGTGATTCTACCAAACATGCAAATGAAAAACTAAATTTTATTACATTAGCAATTTAACACCATAACGTTAGCTCAATAAACACACGATTTAAAAGCAAGCTCGACAAGAACTTTATATGTTTATGGCACTAGATATTTCTTACTTATTACCCTGTGTATTAAATATAGGAAAATATAATGAGCATGCTAAAGCAACTTAGTGCCTGACACAAAGGAAATCAATAAGTATTTTTAGCTCCAAACACGACCATGTTGGTGGTTGGTGAATGTCTTGAATTCTTAAGAAAGCCAATTCACTGGACTGTTGTATTGATTCTGACTTGCCTCTGATGTTTGTAATGAGGTTTTGTAAATGAGAATTGCTTGCTTCATTGTTGGTGAGTTGAAATTATCTGTAGGGTACTTTACTTGGATAATATATTGACTGTTAGCAATTTTCTCTGAATGTCAGTGTTGTACACGAACTGATTGTGAGTATAGCTATCCATTGATACGGTAAAATTAAAGAATTTTTACTATTTTTTGCTTCCTTTTAGTTAATGCTTTTAAAATTAAACTACAAATGATACTGTTGAAAACAATGTTCATTATGCATATTATTTTATATTCTCAACTGCAAGCAATTCTTGTAAATCCTAATGGAATCTGGAATTCGAAAACATGGCCACGAATTGTTCGAAATGAACCGTACGTTAACGCAACAAGAGAATGATTGAAAATGGTATGCGATACGCGAAATATTCGAAAATCTAGAATATGCCATTCCAATGAGTTATTATCGAACAATGGACGTTAATTTTAGTGGAAACCACTATAGGTATATATCGCAACGAAGTTTTTCAACGGTACGCAAATTGTATGGAATTTGCATACATAAAGGTTGTAAAATGGTATTTTCCGCGACGTCGGCACCGTACCGCTTTTGTTAATACGGTAACCGCTTACGGACCGATTTTTTAATGAAAATTACGTCACAAAACGAGTTCAAACCGGTTTTTACATAAAGGACGATTTTAAAAGGTCTGTTGTCGCCTGATGCGTGAAGATTCATTAAGATTTTCATTTTTGGGGACACTGCTTCGTTGAATGTAATGTTGACAATTTATAAGCGACGATGCGTATGTATGAATTGTAGAAACGAAACGATTCGCAATAACATATTTTTTGCTGCTGCTCATGACTGTTCCCAAAAATGCTTAAATTGTTTGAAAGTGTTTACGCGGGACTAGTTTTTATACAAACTTTTAAGTGTGTATTGAAAAACAAAAATTCTGTCTTTTGTATCTCCAAACTTTCTTTGAAAAAATTTCACTGGTAACATTTAAGACTTTCACGAAATTATATTGAGTATAAGTATCAAGCTCCTTTGAGTTTGTTTCGGCTTCATCTAGTTTTATTTATATATAGTATAACTAGCTGACCTGGCAAACTTCGTACCGCCTCAAATATAATATATAGTATTAGCAATATATTATTATATTTTAAATTTAGTCACATTTTCTTATTTTTTAAACCTTCTGAGAGTCTGTCTAGACTTTTTTGACTTTAAGCGTTTCTCAGAATAGCATTTCATTTTATATAAAAGATTTTGACGTTTAAAAGTGCTGTTTTATCGCAAAAATAAATGCATTGTTTCAAGTTTGATTCCGTCTTTTATGATTGATCTTTGTCTTGAAAGTCTAAACGAAAACCTCTGCCACATCAACGGTGTTATCTATAATATAAAAATGAATAGCAAAATGTAAGGTAAGCGCATAACTCAACAACAACTGGACCAATTTGTATTAATTCTTTTTTGTTGTATTTATTATGGTCAGGAGAAGGTTCTTATCAAAGAAAATATTAGTAAAGTAGAGGGGAAACTTGGGAAAAACTGACCCTTTTGTTGTTAGGATAGTATGATCCGTGCGAAGCGGGGGCGGGCAGCTAGTTCACAATATAATAGTTTCCTAGGTCAAAAATAAATTAATCCGATGTTTCAATACAATTAAATTTTGAAAAATAACTATACTTTTATTAATCGATTGATCGATACACAAACTTTAAGAATTTTTTAGCTAATTATTGTGAAATAAGTAAGCCATTTGACGCAAAAATGTCGACGTGATAGCTCAGTTTTTCATACAAATTTCATAGAAAAGTATCGTTTTTGACGTTTGGATAAAAGTATTGAATTTGACTATACTCGGAATTTTAATTCCATTCCAGATTTGACAATTTCAGTGTTGCAACGTTATGACACGTAATAAATAGTGACGTTGCGAAATTATTCGATGTGGAAATCGAATATTTCTGAATCGATTCCTCTCGTTAATAAATGTACTGTCGTAAACTAAGTTTATCAGGAAATAAAATACATATTTGTGAATCGATAATTTAGTTTTGACCATTAATTAACGATTGAGACTTTTCTTTTGTAATTGTGTGTGAAATTAATAAAAAATGTGGTCATGAAGGAACATGACAAATAAAACAAATTTTATGAATTGTCGCCGTCATCGCTATCGCTGTTACTTTCTGTAACATTCATTATGAATTGTGTCTGTGATTTTTATTGTCAGTTAACATATCTAGCTTACTCATTTTTTCTTCTTCTTTGACAACATGGGATACGCATTTAGACCATTCGGTAGGCGTAATTTTTTGAATGCCTTCCTGAAACTGATTCACTGATTGTTTATCGATTTTTGTGTTCATCACTACACTGCAAAATGTGGTATCATTATTTCAAAGAATGACATTAGATGATGTCAAATCAGGAATCGAATTAAAATTCTTACTATAGTTGGAAACTACCGTATTAAAAACTACTTTTACCTTACAAAAAATCCACCTCAAATATAGAATGGTGGCCAATCTTTCACTCACTCAACAGCCTCTTCGCTTCAAGTAATTCATTTAGACATCAAGAACGACGGAGGAAGACTTCATTAAAGGGATGATTAATAACACAAAAGATTATTAATTATAAACGTGTCTCATTAATAATAATATAAATTATCTATTTTGTCGAAAATTATCATCTAAAGTATATTCCCAACCGTTCGAATTTGAAGTTTGTGGTATTTCTGTTTTTGTTGTATAAATTAAAATAACTATTTTGTATAGAACATAGCAAACTGCATTTATTTAATGCAAATCTATATAATATTGCATTAATGTGGTATTTCATTGATATTTTTAAAAGATTATTATGATTATTTATTGTGTATATGAGAAATGTTTGAAAAATAACCTACGTCTACCGCTATATGAGACAAAATAGAAAAACAAATGTGTCTTGCTTGGATCTGTTCTTAAGTGTATCACGGCCTAATTTAAGCCATCAGCTTAGGAGCATACGTGCTTTGATGTATTCTAATATTTGACTATTAATCAAAATTTCATGTTAATATGTGGTTGGAACTTATAAACCAACATTCGTCAGCCCTCTTCCGATCACTCAACCAACGCAACAACCATAGTCATCCCTAATGCGAATACTTTAAAATTCATAAACGGGGTTCGGCGAACACAATTAGAGTATTACAACTTACTAAAAAGAAACTTCACTAACTATTCAGAAAGACTTTCTAGTAGCCTTACTCTCCTTATAGAACGCGATCGCGCAACCGTCGCGCGATTTGGTGAAGCAACCATCGTGAGTTTATTAGTTGGATGTTCTAATGGAACAAGCGATGATCGCGCAAATAAACGAACGAATGACTTTGATATATCAAGAATGAGGTTCTAAGACGATTTTGTGTAGACCTTTATAAAGGTTTGGGAACCTCCTTTGTGCCGAAATCCCAATATATGTGGTTCGATCACAATTGATATTTTTTGTGTGATCACATCGCCTAAATATTGTATATTCATAAACGGCATTAAGTTAAATCAATTTATGAAAAAAATAATCCGTATCTGAAAAAACGTATTGCTTGTTATTCTCCATCGGTATCTTTACTTTGGAACGAGTAAATACATTCATTATGAGTACTGACCGACATTTTTTTATCTTTAAGCTTTGTTTGACATTTAAAAGTGCCTGCAAGGGTCTAAATGAAATAAATTAATTTGAATTTGATTTTGACTTTAAGATCTATCATTTCTTTTTTGATTGGTGAATTGATCGAATGATTTCTCATGCCCAGGGTTGGGCGAGAAGCAGTGTCAGACTCATACTGACTAAAAAGGACCTCGTTCTTTCTTCTGCTTTTACCCGGGGTCCCGGTACATTATTCCGCTAGTGATCTCTATTGAACATTAATATTAAAAAAGCGATTTTATTCAAAATAAATGTGTCTAAACTTGTGATGATCGCTAATTCTCGTTGTATTACGACTCTTAGTAATATATTAGTTAGATACGTCAGTACGTAATCGTTGGTAGAAAAAGCGGTAATAGTGGGCAATTGATCTGATTGGCTACCTTTGAAATATTAATGCGAATGAGGTATGCACAGTAATGAGGCTTTTACTGATTGATTGCAGTACTATGCTAGTTCATTTACTTCGTTTGCGAATACTCTAGTTGTGGTGTGCTTTGTATTATGGTTTTTTTAAACCATTATTGTTATTTTTAAATTACGTAGTAAGTGGTGGTTGATAGAGTCTTATACAAAATCTTTTTGTTTTGATTAGAAAACGTGTTAATGTCATTAATTGTGAAACTTTGGCTGGTTTTTGGTAATTTCTTTTTTTTATTCTTTTTGCCATTGATACGCGTTTTGTTTGTAAGGTTTTATTATTATTTTTATAGAATTAAATTTTTTGAATAAAGAACATTCAGTTGGTGCCACTTTTGTAACTGTCAGTTTGATAAAAAAAGGTATTGCTCTCGTTATTAATAAATTGAAAGAGACAAAAAAAGTTGTATCTTTAAGTTTAACTTAAAACGTTATAAGAAGTGTTGTATTTGTAAGATAATTTTATTTAAGATATGTTTTTTTTAGGAAATACTCCGCAAAATATCTTTTTTTTTTAAATTTTGCTTTAATTTACGTCAATAACCGGAACTTGTGTCCAATTTTCACTACTATACAATGCCCTTTTATTGCTCAATGAACACATTTTTTTTAAATAACTGGTAAATAATATAAATAAACAGCTATTACTTAAATTTAAAATAATTACAAAGAGATAAAAACTGTTTTATCTTAAAGCATAGCATACACATTGTCAGAAGCTTAGTATCACAATTTGCCTCGAAAATTACCAAGAGACCTGTGTAAAAACGTAAATTTTCTTGCTAAGGCCATGGGAGCGTTTGCATTTGCATTTCCTTCAACCGTTTACACTTTTGAGATAATTGGTACAAGTTAAGGAAAATGAAAATAGGTTATCTTGTGTTTTCGTGATACATAGGAATATTTATTTAATCAAATATTGTCGTGTCGGTGGGTAGAAAGTAAAGGTAGGCCACATTTTGTGTGTCTTAAGTTTATAAGTGAAAAGTAGCAATATGATTATACGACTTGGTTTAAAAATACAATTGTTTTACTACGGCATTTAAAAAGAATGTTACAATGAAACTTTTAACTATTTTTTGTAGGTAATTTACGCTTACAACATAAAGATTAAGATTTAATTTATAGTCTAAAGTTGCAATATATAATATATATATGTTGGTGCTACTATATTTCGATTGGGGAGTACTTCGGCAGAGTAATTAAGGCCGTTAAGCTCCGGAACTCTGTGGTTTACCAGCCGCGGTCGCACGAGATCGAATGGTTCAACATAATATAGGTAGTTTCGAAGGTAATTCTATGATTCTCGACAAAATGGCTACGCTCGATCACCGCTAAGCTGCGTTTGGTTGTCGTGCATTTTGCTCAACAGATTTATTGTTGTGGTTACCCAGAGGCAAAGACGCTTTTTATGCATAAGGGTGCGGTTTCGAAACCTGTTAAGTGGCAATGTGACTTTTTCCAAGACATTGTAAAACTTAGAATTTAGAAACCGCTGAAGAACTGTGAAGGAAAGCGTTGTAAGGAAACCTGCGCTTTATCATTTCTATAATTTCTAATTATATACGTTTAAAATTGCCATTGTCAATCCTCCGTTGACAAAATATACAATCAAATATTTTTTGTGTGACAGGAGTCTTTTGGTTAGCAGTGGGAATTTATAGACTAGTGACGATGATGATGATGATGATTTGTTTTAGTTAAAACCAATCATTATCATCATATCATACGCGAGTTTACCTTAGTTTTTAAGTATAACAGAGTTTTTAGTTAAAAAGAATCGAAATAAAAAAAAGTATTTTACTTTTCCAAACCGGCATTAATAGAAGCCGAGACCAACAGACAGCAAAGCAGTCACACTTACGACTTGATCGGCGAAACTTTAGAGACAGGCCATCTTATTTTACTTCTTACTAATATTATAAATGCGATACTCAATTACGCCAAAACGGTTAGACGAATCTGGATGCAATTTGGCAAAGGCATAGGATACACTCCGGAATAGGACATAGGCTACTTTTTATCAACATACCATGTGAGCAAAGCCGCGGGCGGAAGCTAGTGTAGAATAATTATACTATGCTATCAGTTAGAAATTGCCTAGAACTTTCTATTTTTGATCTAAAATTCTATTACGGTAGTAACTACTAAACTATTGAATAGGTTATGGCGACATATTGATCTGCATTGTAAAGTATCCATTGGTGTTTCAGTCTGACGGTGGGGGTCGGTGGGTGGAACTTGAGGCGCAGGTGATGATGCGAGGTGGCGCTGTCGTCGGCACCACCGGCCCTACTGGCAATGCCTTGCTATTGGACTGCAGGTTCGAGCCACCTTTCGGTGAGTAAATAATAAAATTGTAATAAGTAATAATTATATTCGTTAAGTGTCTAAATATTCTAGCAAATACTTTTGCTGAGCGTTACTTTATTTATGTGTATTAATTACTATAATATCTGCTACGAGTGCATCGAAATTCGTTAACTACGTTCTAGCCGATTGAAATTGATGAAGGACTTTGTAAACTTGGTGTGAATCAAAACTATAATTTTTGAACGGTGGCTATACCGATTTTTTTATGTGATATGTCGGCAAACGAGCAGACGGATTACCTGATGGTAAGCAATCAGCGCCGCTCATGGACGCCCGCAAACAGAAGAGTTACGAGTGCGTTGCCGATCTTTTGGGGATTAGAGTTTTGGGAGATTTAGGTATTTATGTGTATTTATTACTATAATATATGCTACGAGTGCATATTGGGACTCGGATCAGAATTCGTTATGTTTGAGCCGATCGTAATTAGTGATGAAGGACTTTGTAAACTTAGTCTGAATGAAAACTAGCTGCAAATACTGATCTAATTTTTGAATGGTGGCTATACTGATAGATGAACTTGTTCCCTCTCCATTCGTACTTCATTGCACTCGCAACTTCAGCAAAATGAGAAGTTAAATACTGGTATCAAGGTTCCAAAATCTATTCATATTTTTATGTCATACATAGGCAAAAAAGATGTAAAACGAGAAGGTAACTTTCTCGTCCTACATTGGAATGTTTTGTTCAAACTACCATAACTATCAGTATCACACTAGTGTTTACTTATATCTATATCTTATATATAAAAATGGATCGCAAAATATGTTGGTAAGCGCATAACTCAACAACACCTGGACCAATTTTGCTAATTCTCTTTTTGCTATGTTTGTTATTGTCGGAAGAGGGTTCTTATCAAAGAAAATATTAGAAAGTGGAGGGTGAAATTGGAAAAAAGTGAAAGATTCATAATGTTACTTGAATACCTAGGTGACACATAAAAAGCATTAAATATAGTGCAAACCTACGGATCTCTGATTGGGTGGTTCTACGCATCTGCTAAAAACAGCCTATTTTGAATTTTGCTCAATTTGTATTAAGATTCAAAGTTGCGTGAATCGCTCATAAAATGAAAAAAAGTACTTCATTAGTTCACGCGGAATTATCTATTGGCAAAAACGCGGTTTCACGCTATCCCTGATAATATTAGATTTTTAAGATAAATAGAAGCTTAAAATGAAATAAAAAACTCTTTTGATACAGACTGCAACTTTTTCCAACGGTATAAATAAAATGCTTCACAGACTACCGAGAGTAGAAAGTAGGATATTGGATGTTTAGTTCTATGCAGAGTCATTGATTTTCTTTACTTATAACGTGTATCTCGAATACCATTTCCATTACGCTTGTCCTAGTGGAAATATACTGTCGATCGTGATAAAACTATTTTTTACGATGTGTTTTTAATAACGCTTCTTTTTTTTCTATTTTATTTTTAATCTGTATTTTAGTTCGAGTTTCTTTCCTTTATTAACGCATATTCTGACAAGCGTTTTTCTATGTTTCAAAAGTACTTATATTTATATAATTTGTCTTTGAAATATTTATTGTTTATTTAATACATTAGTAAGTAAACTAATCTACTTTATTTTTAAACGTTTTTGAACTCGGGAACTCGATTTAGATTCTTAAAAAAGATTTTGATTATATCATTTTCTTGTGGTGACACATCATCGTGGTGGTGTGGTCTCACTCGGTCGGTGAAAACTTAAAATTATAGTATGTTTGTAACAAATTTTATTAAAACTTTTAACTCTTTCCCATGTGTATGAAATCAACTATGAAAGTAATTCTCAGGTTGTCGGTTAAAAAATTATTACGTAAATAAATACATATGTTACGTAGTGCACATGCAGCGTTTACTTAAATAACGAATTGGTATAGTAACTTCTTATTTTGAATTCTTTTTCTTTCTCTCTTTCTCTACCTACAAACCTTCCCTGGACTTCAACAAATAATTCAAGACCAAAGGTAGCCAAATCGGTAAAAGCACTATTGAATTATAACATTACAACGAAAAGTGGCATTGATTTATACAACTATAAAATAATAAAGTACAAATCAATTTTCAATTAGCATTGGAATTCATTGATACGATGTAAAAAATTGAGTCAATTTATTCAGTTAAAATTATTTAATAAAAGCATTTGAATTAAAATTGTAGTGATTTTTGTTATAAAGTTTTATTCATCAGTACTTTCACATAAACTATATTATAAAGATGGAAACTGGTTACTGGTACTTAAACTATACGAACTCTTTTTTGGCGTCCTACTTTGTTATAACATTTCGTGCAAAGAAAATTTGATACTTCATTATTTAACACTCCAGAGACACACTATATCTCAAAAGAAACAGACAATAAGAATTTGTTCAAATTTTCATTTGCAGTTTTGCTCCCAAACACATAACGTAGGTAGATAAACATTATCGCGCCCTCGATCTTTTATCTCTATTCAACGCACTAGGTTGAAAAGAGACGAATAGACGTAACAGAAACAATGTGAAACTTCAACGGTAAAAAATTTGTGACCCAAGACCCTTGTCATCAAAACTGGCATGGAGGGCCCAAGGAGGACACAAAAGTAGTTTGTGGGTAACAATTCTTCTAGATACGTAGCTTCTAGTAATCGATAAAAGGAAAAGATATAAAATAAAAGATATATGGTAAAGTTGGCACTATTGCGAATTGTGTCAGATTGGCGCCGGACCGGCTGAGGGTCCTTGCCAAACTCCATGTCCTGATTTTGGTTAATCTATGGTTAGGTCACAGTGCTAGAGAGCAAATGTTCCACTTTCATGTTTGCAGACCATTTATTATGATATCTTATGTTATGGGAACAATAACATCGTATATTAGTGTCATGCTTGTTTTTTTATGATGTCTCAAGTGTCAATGTTTTAAGATGTTGTAGCAAATAAGTACTCAACTAGTCAAATTAGATACTTTTTACATTAGCTATTAATCTTGTCTGAAATAGCACGTTGTGATATCATATTTATTTGTGTTAAATAGCATACTTATTTTCTTAAATTGTTTTGAAATACTTTTATATTTTTATAAAGTAAAATAATTTATTTTGGGTAACACTATATGTATATATGTATAAATATGTTTAAACAAGCTTTCTCAGGCTAGATAATAAGTCTTGGTAATAACAATTTAACTCATAACGATAAAAATAACGATAGTGACTAATATATGTACAACTGAATTCTACGTTTTGTAGTCGATGAACAAAGAATAGGTAAATATATCTCAACACACAGTTCACACATTTTCAACAGTTCAGAAAAAAATCATAATTGACGTGACTGAACCAGACCACCCACGTGTTTTCAAATTGTCAATCAATCAGTTAACTCAAGCCTACCATTGCCTTTGACACGCTCTAGTAAAACCACGTTCCCTAAAAATAAAAAATAAAACTAGTATGATTGACTTGTTGCCGCAACCTTCAACGCTTTAAGCAAGGAGTTTAAAGTTCAAATAGTTTATAGGACATAATTCGATTTTTAAAAATTCTTAGTTTAACAGCGTTATATGTGCTCCGAGCAAGGCTATTCCTTCTCCTTTGGTGGTTATAAGGCGTTTACAAACATAAAAAATCACATACAAATAACAATTAGGTGTTATTTGTATAACCTGGGGTTGGACACAGGACAAGTAATTCTTGGATTGCACAAAGAAGTGTTCCGTGCGAACATCAAAGTCGCAACAGTTGCACGCCATTCGGTTGCCCGGACACTGCGCCATCTGTGCAGTATAATATCATAACTGCTTTCCTTCTCTAATATGGCTTACTGATTTTTTTTTAAGTTTGTATAAATACCTACTTTCATTTTAACACTAAATCGTTGTAATCTAATTAAGTTGATACTTCCAGATCCAAGCGATCTGTTTTCTTTGCCTTTCCATTAAGTTATCTGATAAGATCACATCTAGAACGGTCACTTAGAAGTCATTTACGACCCTATCATTTATTCAGAGACTTAAAAAAGTTTATCGACTTAGTTAAACTTCTCCTAGGAGGGGTTAAATTAAGGAAATATTTGATTGTAAAACATTATGTAATAATTAAATGATTATAAACGTTTAATTTTTGTACATTGCCAGGGATTAAAGTGAGTTAAGTGGTTTTATTTATAAGTTGCGTATCCTTTTTCCGGGCCAAAAAATGAAACAATTTTGTGAAAATTAAGAGCCTTAATTTGAATAGACAAACTATTTTAGTTCGAAACAATAAAACAACAAAGCATAGGAAACAAAGTCATTCAGCCAGGACGCGTCGTCGCTAGGACGAGACGGTTTTTTTATTTTTGTTCACAGAGTAACAAACATCGGGCGCCGTCTAGGCGGGTGTTGTCAGACTCGTGGTTGAATCGCTCGGAGCGCGGGTGCCAAGGTCGTTGTGTCACGTGACCAACTGAACGACCGACCGACCGATAATGAATGGACAGCCTTATTACGTCTATGCTGTCTGTAGACGATTTGGCGCGAAATGCGATGCGTTCTATTTTTGAAATTGTTTTAACCCTTTTCAATGTTTCTGATTAGATTGTTTGTAAACTTTTTCTATTTTGAAAAGGATTTTTTGTTTGATAAGATTTCAAGTAATGAAAAGACATATATTTAAGGCAACGCTTTCGATTTATATATTTCATTTTCCTAAAAAAGAACTATCACACATTTTTAAAATCACCATTATACTAGCATTTGTATTAAAAATAATATTTCATACCACACAAAATCCTGACATAATACAGAACTTATCATTTATCATAAAAGCGACATAAATAAAAGGTAATTACAAAACATGAGCAGCATAAAGTTCATATATTGGCAAAAGGGTGGATTTTACGTAAGAACCAGGGTCGGATCTATGCGGATCCAGGCCCCAAAGACTTTTAGGGCTCCAGTTTTATTTAGTAGCTGACTAAGTACTTATCGCTGGGTCCAGTGACTGATAAATTC